GCCCCGCAGCCCCGGAGGGCGCGTTTTCGGTCTTGCCGGGAAACTAAAACTCCGGAGCGGACGCTATGGACAGTAGTATAAAATGCATGGTATGAAGGGAAGAGAAAACACGATCTCTAACGTTCAGTTGAGAGTGCAACTATACAAGCATTCAAAAAAAACACAAGTTCTGAAAGATACTCGGAAGCTTATAGAAGCACACAGAAATGACTGAAGAAGAAAGGGTAGTACTGAAGGGAGGTGACAATGCAGGGCTTGCGGCTGCATGGCATCTTAAGACTGGCATCTAATACCTTGTTGTGCCTAAAAGTACCCTTCTTCATGTAGTGTAACTCACTGTAAACCAGCTGCTGACATCTAACTCATTTATGTTGTGCTTTTTAGTTTCCTATGCTCAAGCTGTAATTCTTTATTAAAAGGCATTGCCCTTTAGTAACAGCAGTGTTTGAGAGGCTGAAAAACTGCTGGATCTAGTACACTGAAGTCAGTTAAACCAAGTACATTCACAGTTGCTGTACTGCACTTCTGTCATAAGTCAGCTCTACTGATGGTTATTTCATCTGCAGTCACTTGTACCATGTGCATCAGTGTTTCTAGGCAATGAATTCTGATGTTACATAGACTGTCATACCTTAAAAAAGCTGATGCATTTACGTTTGCGTTACAAATAATCCCTTGTTCACAGAAGTGAAAAAAGCAAAGCAGTAGTAGACAGCTTATATTAGATGTTTATGAAAGTAAAGGGGTGGTTATGACAAGAGGCAAAAAATGAAACACACTCCACTCTTTAGCCTTCTACTTCAACAGAGCAAGAAACTCCTTAGTCTGTCGGGTTTAAGTCCTTACATTCAGTGATCAGACTGTTTATTCCTTAGTCTTGCGCTATAGAAAGCTTGTTCTCTGCTAGTTTCTTCTGATGAACGTTTTTTTCTCTTTTTAAACAGGTTAAATATTTTGACAAAAGAAGAGACTTTCTAAAATATAAAAAAAAGCTTGAAACAGAAGGCTATCATCCTCAAGAAGCTGCTGGAAAGTCTTAGGTACTCTGCTTTCAAAAGAAATCTAATGAGAATAATTATGGAAGGAAGAAGCATGGGAAAGCAACAGGAGCTGCCTGAGCTCAAGAACTGGTCACCTGCCTGTCTCTGGAATGCAGGCTGCTGTTCTGGCTGCAAGGTCTCACAGAACTGCTGAGAAAAGATGGTCATGGGCAGCTTTTTCTTGAGTGCAAGTCAAAGAAATATGGTGCAGGGCTGTTCACAAATCAAAGGATTTGGATGTATAATTATAAAAATTGTTTCATATTAATGTACATAATCTAAAAGAGAACAATAAAAATAGTTTATCAGTAAATGAAACAGCTTTTACATTCAAAAAAAGACCTTTACCACTTCCCCTCCTTGTAATTTCTAGTCATCATTCAGCAAGTATTTCACACGATTTTAAAATACAGTTTAAGTCAGACTTCACTTTATAAAACAGCAACCATTAGAAGACCTAATGCATCCTGTGCATATGATACATAATTTATGTGTATGCTCATTTTTTAGAAGCAATAGGAATTTCTACATTAGTGATAATACTCAGTTTTCAATCAATATTTTTGCTAGAGGTGGGGTAGTTAGTTATTAAAATTCTCACATTACAGCCTTTTGTGTAATTGAGTGGTTATGATGACCTTACTGATGCAGTCCCTTTTAAAGATACATATTTTTGACAGCAGGACTAGTAAACAACTGTAGAAGGTGCAAGGCACAGCATTCAATGTAATAATGTAGGTGAATTTACCTTGCAAAAACTATATAGTATATCTAGATGCTGGAGGCATTAAATACTTTGGCTACAGTAAGTTTTGGTTGTGCTACAGGAAGAAAACACTTCAGTTTTGAGTATGTTTTTCACAATTGAAGTAACTGCAGTAAAATATCTTATTTTTTGAGTTTGGAATTGTTAGAATTGCAAAATCAAGTCCAACCTAAGCTAACCTAACACAACCAAGTCCACCAATGAACACCACATCTATACATCTTTTAAATACCTCCAGGGATGGTGACTCAACCACTTCCCTGGGCAGCCTGTTCCAATGCCTGACAACCCTTCCGGTCAAGAAATTTTTCCTAGTATCCAATCTAAGCCTCCCCTGGTGCAACTTGAGGCTGTTTCCTCTCATGCCATCACTTGTTACTTTGGAGAAGAGACCAATTCCCATCTCACTACAACCTCCTTTCAGGTAGTTGTAGAGAGTGATGAGGTCTTCCCTCAACCTTCTTTTCTCTAGGCTAAACCACTCCTGCTCCCTCAGCTGCTCCTCATGACTTGTTCTAGAGACCCTTCACCAGCTTCGTTGCCCTTCTCTGGACATGCTCCAGCACCTCAGTGACTTCATTATAGTGAGGGTCCCCCGACTGAATGCAGGATTCAAGGTGCAGCTTCACCAGTGCTGAGTACCAGGGAACAATCACTGCCCTGGTCCTGCTGGCCACACCATTTCTGATACAGGCCAGGATGCTGCTGGCTCGTATTTGGTTGGCTGCCCACCAACATCTCCAGGTCCTTCACCACCAGGCAACTACCCTTCCCCAAGCCTGTAGTGCTGAGGTGGAGTTGTGACCCAAGGGCAGGACGCAGCCCTTGGCCTTGTTAAACATCACAGAACTGCCCTTCTCATTTTCTTCCTGCAAAACCTCATGAAATCCTTGTAGTTATTCCAAGTTGCTTGCTTCTTCCTCCAAAGGTCAAAAACTCTCCTCCTTTTTTCCCCCCCTTAGTTCCAGCCAAATTTATTCTGCTAGGCTGGTCTTCCCCACTGGCTTGTCTTTCAGCACACGCAGACAGCCTGCTTCTGTACCTTTAAGATTTTGCTCTTGAAGAACATCCAACCTTCCTGGATTCACTTCCCCCTCAGGACTGCCTCCCAAGGGACTCCATCAACCAGTCTCTTAAACAGGCCAAAATCTACCATCTAGAAGTCTAAGCTAGCAGTTCTGCTGATCCCTATGCCCAAGACGGCCTCCAACCATCACATCACCCACACATCCTTCTCTTTTCACAAACAACAGGTCCAGAGGGGCACCTTCCCTAGCTAGCTCCCTTGCCAGCTGTCTCAGGCAGTTCTCTTTCACACTCTCCAGGAACCTCCTGGACCATCACTAAGCTCTAGACAATCATAACCCTCCTTAACAGGGCTACCCCACCACCTCTCTTTCCTCATTGGTCCCTTTTATACTATGTTGATATTCTAGTATTAAAAAAAACCAAACAAACACACCCTGCATGCAATATAAATAGAATTTATTTCCAATGCAACTGTTTTAAGGAGGTAAAGTATTAAGGCATTTAAAAGTCAGTCCAAACACTACAGAGAACAAAAACATGCAAAACTTCAGATTCCTCATTCACCCTGAGCTTGTAATCTCATTTATTCAGAATTTAATGTCGTAGCACCATTGGAAGTCACTCGGCTGTACTGTAAGGCACAAAACTCTTGGCAGTTATTTTTGTTGCTTTTGCTTGATCACTTGTTGCCTTGTGTACTCCCAGATCAGCAGAGCTCCACTTACATGAACATTGAGTGATCGAATAATACCCTGCTGTGGAATTTCCACACAGACATCCAGGTGGTGAATCAGGTGTGCTGGGATTCCTTCATGTTCATTTCTAGTAAGGAAGAAATAGTAACTTGTATCTGGGAAAAAAACAATGGTTCTGGAGAGCAGAAGATGGAAAAGTCACAACAGCACCCAAGAACCATTTGACAAATGGTGCACCTGCCTTCAATAAAACTGTGAGGACAAGAAATTATTTTTTCTAAGCAGTAATATATTATAGATTCAAAGAAAACATGGGAGACCTGACTAAGCTTTCATGTAGGAAAACTGGAGGAGCATTTATTTTTTAGTCCACTGGTCCAGCAATAGCTGGACGCCCAACACAAGGACTCTTTCTCCACCTTTATTTTGAAACTATACATATATAACTGTAAACAGCTGCAGATGAAACAACCAGGGGATGAAGTTGCTGGCACTGCAGGGGTGCTCAACTGCCCACTTTGCATTCCATGAGATCCTGGTATGACGGAATGTCAAGTCCGATCGAAGCCTTGAACTGGAAATTTTTCATCTCTTCCAAATAAGCGCACCAGAAGACACAAAAGGTCATCAGTAATTAAAACTAAGGGATTTACTTAGAAGAGAACAAAGTGATTATGAGAACTACATTCTGAAGCCAAGGTACATACTAAAAAGTTTGAAAACCAGGTATTTCTGCACAGTTTTCCTAAAGGACAGGCAGGCCCTTCCTCCTGGTATCACTCAGTGGCCCTGCAATTCCAGCAGCTTTCTGACTTGTAGGCACTTTCTTCTAGATTTCTGTAAGTAGCCTCCTCTCTGTCACATCTGAGGCTTGCTGGTTTATAGGAACTGATTACTGCTTTTCTCTGAACCCATCCCAGCCTCTACTTGCACTGCAAAAACTTGCTACTTCATCCTGCGCCTCATCCTTAATTTTCAAAGGATCACCCAGCTATGCATGCTCCCACTCTACTCCAGTCCTCTTACTAAGTTAAGGAGGGCAAACGGGCAGCCCCCTCCTTCTCGCTGAGCTCACCCCAGCCCATATATATATAGGACCACACAATACTCAAGTGAGCAGATGGTATCTCTATCACAGCTGGGAAACTATAATCCATGCTGTTGCCTCCTCCAGCAATAAACAGATTTTTAAAAAAGTTATAGTATAATCACTTCCCATTCTAAATGCACCTTTACCAGTGTCACTTCGCTCTCATATGACCAAATTGACTAGTAGAAGGGATGGACTGCACAAGGTAGATTTACAAAAAGTGTGTGTTCTTACCCCAGCAACAATAGTGACTTCTCTGGGAAGCAATATTCTGTAAGATCAAAACTTTTAGCTGTCTGCTCCACACCAATAATAGTGTAGCCTTCTGTTTTTTTCTGCTGTAAATAATCAACAAGCTGGGATGGTTTCACCTGTCACAAGAACAGGGAGAAATATACAGGTATTCAAATACCACCATTTCTAAACTTGTGAAGTTACTGTAAACATCAATTTACTTGCAGTTTTTAAGATGAAGGACTTTTATCCCCAAAGACTCTGCCTATGTACATGACTTAACATTTTAAAACCTCTTCAGCAATAGCACAAAAGGTTAAGTAATGCCACAAAGATGTACTCCACAAATACCATGAAAAAAGGCTTTTCTGACAGCTGCAAGCCTTGCACCTGAACGTAAAGGAATCATTTTCGCATAGGGACAATGTGCACAGTTATTATTTAACTTGGAATTTTTTCCCAAACTAATGCAACAGCCAGTAGAGAAGCTCAGTTGCCTTACATGCCTTCACTACAACTGGTGGCAGCTTGCCATACAGAATTTCTTAGTTGTCTCCAATCTACTCTCTAAACCACTCAGAGCAACAGAAGCTCTATCATCAGTACACTTCTGTACAGAGATTAAGCACGACAACACATGTCCATCAGCATTCTGGTTTAGGCAGAACACACTACAGCTCTCTTGTCCTGAGGAAAAAATCATAGTAGGCTGAAAATAAACACTACGGAGGAAAAATTAAAAATTTGCACTGAATTTTTCAGATGACTTCAAAGTTGATCTTGAAAAACTGATAATTTTAAAGTATCGCAAACATTTACTACCATTTTCTACTAAACACAGATTGAAACCCTCATTTTTGTAAGCTAGATAGTAGGTTCTAAAAACTCAGCACAAATTAGCTTCCAGCAAACTCAAAGACTATACACATGAAAAAGCAACGGACCAAGCAGGATAAATGAAACTTCTATAAACAAACATTAAATTCTAATGCACCACTATAAAGCACAGAACAAGATGTAACAATAACAGTTCCCATAATCTGTTTATTGCAAAAGTAAGAAATTAAAAGTAGTTTTAAAATTCTTCTTTGTAAGGTTGACCCAAAGTTTATACTGAAATATTCAAGGAGTAAGTCTCAGAGAGAACAGCAGGAGACATTAGTTTGTTTTTGCAAGATAAAGTAAGGCTCTGAACTATGCATCTGATGTACTGAAGATGTACACTTTTTAGCTATTAAAATGCTTCAATTTACCTCAATAAGGGAAAGCCATTGCTCCGCAGAAACACTAAGATGCTGAAACTGCTTATCGTGTACGTAATGAAGACTGCTGACAACTAGTGCAGATGCCCCAAATATTTCACTGGTACGACACAAACCTAGACACAAGAATTAAAGTGATTTTTGTGTTGACACATAAATATCAAGCCAGAATATTTTAACAAATGAAAATTAACAAGGAATCCAAGAGAGAAATGGTTACTTTAGTCCTCTATTTTTAATCAGTTTCAGGCACTTCCTATCTGTTTGAAGCCACGCTTTGTTCCATGTAATTTACCAGAAAAAACAAAGTTTTGTAATTTAGCAGACTGCAAAAAACTGGAAAAACACTATGTCTGAGAACATGCTTCTACAATACTAATTACACAAAATAACAGTCAGTGTACAAGCCTCAGCTGAGGGGATGGATACACACACACATGCCTAAGCTCTAAATTCAGTACCTGTTAAATGAAAAGCTCGAGAACATGACATATTGCAGCATTATAATGCAGCCAGCATCAGCTTGTGGGCTTATTTTTCCTTAACAGTCTCATGCAATGATTGAAACTGCTGCCAACAGAATGCCCAATGCAATAAACTATTTGCAGGATTTATTATCATAGCCTGCACAATGTCGTGAATGAGTGCTTAATGAGGAACGGGCACTTCCCTGTTCAACAGTCATGAGACAGTTCTGCAGGATTCAGTTTAATTGTTACAGAAAAAAAATAAAAGTAAATTATTTCCTTTTAACTGCACACACAGTCGAAAAACTCAACTGAAACAAAGAATATTAAAAAAGGTAAGAAAGTAAACATAATTTACAGCAAAGTTCCATTTAAATAATGCATGCTATGTCTAAGTACTTTTTTCTTCCTTAAAAAGGTAATTATAGAAAAGTTCTTCTGAAGCAGGCAGTATTTCTTTTAATTGTCCGTTTTTTTCAGCATAACACTCTACTTCTCTGAGCAGTACTTAAATAATTTTCCAATTATCAAAATAAAATTAAATTAATTGCTATTATCCAAGTGAGCTCTAAGGTCTAAAACAGAAGTTTAAAAATGTGCCACAGCCTTACCTCCTAAGTTGGTAGGTTTATCAATAAGTGAAGCCACCACAATCAGCCTGCTGTTTGATTTACCAAGTTTAGCAGCCCGATCCTGAAATACCATTTCCAGGTCTAAACTAGGAGTACTGTTTTTCCACGGTATAATCTTTTTCTGAACATCGGTCCATTCCGACTGGCTGTCTGCTTCAGCTGAATTTGAACCTATAAAAACAAGCAGTGCTCATACTGATATGCAAGCAGTAGTGAAACTACTGCTTCAGGATGGAATATTATCTAAATGATGACTGTAGACACCATCAGTCATATACTACGTTATTTTATAGCATATACTCTGCTCGCATACATATCAGTTGACTTCAGCTGAAAAAATGATTAGATTGAATACAGATGTACACAGCTACTATATACAAATAATTACATTTAATATAGATTGGCTATATTTTACCCATGTCTTGCTGAGACCAGTCACTCAGTTTCAGATCACGGAGCTCCATTCGAGAACAATACCACTGAAATGCTGGTGGCAAAGGAACATCAGTAAATCTGTCAAATTTAGAGAGTGAGATCCATTCATCTTCAGCAAGCTCTGAAAGGCGGGGAAGAGTGTAAAATATGGTCTGCAATGTAACACAGAGTTATTAGAGCACCACTAAAGCAAGCAAAACAGATAACAAATTAACCTCTGGTAATATTATTGCACATGTCTTTTTTTCTAATATCGATTTTTCTTGCTACTTGATGTAACCTCCTGATATAGTTTTCAATATTCATCACTTTAGACATAGTGCTAGCCTAAACTCATAAATCTAGTCTCTTTCTCTCTCTGATTAGACCTTTTTAATAATCTGCATCGATTACTGTTCTGAAATTCTAGAATACCAAAGAACTCACACCATGCTGCACAGCACTGAAGGCTTGTGAAAATGTTTTATGTGTAACACTAAAGTTTTCAGACACTCTCATAAACTTCTAGTAAAGAATGTGGCTTGATTTAATGTCAAAAGGGATATGGTCAAAAGCATTAAAATCTAGCGGTAAAATTCAACTCCGCATTGCTCATACAGCTAGCCACAATTTATCAAGGAGGAACAAACACACACCCCAAAGGAAAAGCTGAATAAGGTAAAGAGTTTAAAACCCAGACATTCTATTCATCCCAGTGCACCCTCAACATGAAAGAAGATGCACTCTGAATGCGTTTAAATACTTAACAAGTAATAGCCTTGCTGTGTGTCTGCTTGTTTTTCTCGTTCAGGATTTTAACTTCCAAATTTTGCTATGTTGTATCTAGCATATTCAAATGTTCACAATAATATTTCACAGAACATCAATTATAAAAAAAATTTTAAAAAATTTCTTCTCTGAAAGATGGCACTACTTGTGCCAGAACACAAGTACTCTTCCCATTCACACTTTTATTTTCAGCTTAGTTTCCCCACCTCTTATTTTTAATCTGCACACTTATTTTTGCCTTCCTTCCCTCAGTGTTTATTCAGCTGTCAGTTATATTTAAGCTACAGCAAAAAAAAGCTAAAAAAATGCTCTAGAAGCTATATATCTGTATGCTGTTCATATCAGACAACAATTTAGTTAAGCAATCTCAAGTTACTTCTAAGAACAGATGTCTCAAAAATTCTAATAAACTATATGCGATTAAATAGATGCTCTTCAGTTATTAGAAGTAACTTTTTCAGCCACAAATATAAAACCTGATTAACTCCCACACAGATGGGCACATTCATCACTCTTAATTGACCTACATTCTTAACACAATATTAGAGAATTAAGCTGCAGTCTTAGTCTAAAATGCATCAGAATTCAGGTGAAGTAATTTTTTCCTGAGTTTTAAATGAGTAACAGTTGATCATTATTCATCCTGCATTAGAACATAAAAAGAAAGATAAAAACACAGTTGTACAACTACACAAATACAATAATCAGCAACAATTGTGGACTTGCCTCTAGACTATAATCCTCAAGTGGATGAAATGTTGCAAAGAAGAAGTGATCTTGGATTCGCTGCCATTTTTATTCCTGCAATTGCAGAAAGTAATGCAAGTTGCACAAAAAAGGCAACATACTAGGCTTCTTTTTTAACTCATCAAATTAGAATAAGGCAATCTGACTGTACTTACTATATACTGTATGGGAAAGAGAAATACTTTAACAATTAAGGACCCTATTAAAAACCAACCAACCAAAATAAACCAGAAACCTCACAAACCAAACAACCTAGCACTCAGGAAATAAGTTTTGTTTACGTTTCAAGAAAGGCCCATAACATGTCTATCACTCAAAGAAGCAAGTTTGCAAGAAAGAGTATCCCATCTAGGCCTCTGAAGGAAACTGAATTCTAGCCTACGGTTTTTTTTTTTAATTTTTAGCTGTCAAAAAAAAAAAAAAAAGCATACTCCGCCCTCTGCTGCCTTTTTCTATTCTATATCTTCACATATCAACTTGGATGATTTAACAGTGATGCTGATCAGGGAAATACTGATGTTCTCCAAAAAAACTCCACAAACCAACAAAAAAACCTGTCAGCAGCAGCCTGAAGTTTGAATTTCTGACAGTGTTGTCAGGCAGTATAAAATTATTTTAACTAACTCCTAAAAACAGGGGTAGAAAAAGGATACAAACACACTATTCCCAAATCCATAAGCACAAAAGCAGTTTTGAAAAGCTCATTTAGTCATCACCTGAAATCAATTTCCCTATCAATTCTTCTCCCACACTAGTTTTTTCAAATATTTTGGATTTTTATATTTGAGAATTTACTGGTATCAGCAAGTTTAGAAGAATGAATTTTATTGCCGCAAAACCACAGAAAATTAAGCAGTCCTGTCTTTTTTGCTGCACTTCTAAACCATGAGCACTGTTGAAACATGTCTCAAGTTTTACCTCTTGTGCTTTCAGACTGTAATGCTATGCTGAACTATCACTTCATTTTCTTTGCTGATAACTAGATTTCGATTTCTGAGTCTCAGTTTCTGTTTCACTTCTTAAGTACTTTTAAATAGAGTTTAAACAGTCTATAAAACCCCACAGAAATTATTATCAGGTGCTGTTTTTTAAAATTACATGTTGCAAATGGCTCAGAAGAACATTGTTAAGCTGTCAGAAGAATGTTACTAACCCTGTGCCATGCATGTTTTCCACTTGTTGAAGGCTAGATTCAATAACTGGAGTCAGAGCTTCAAATTCTTCCACATGCAACTTTCTGCACATACCCCAGATTTTTTTAAGGGCAATTAGCGCATAAAGTCGAACACTGAAATTATGGTTGAAGCACCACTGAAGAACAACTACGAGGGCTTTCTTCAAAGCTGGCTTCTATAAAACAAAGATAAAGAAGTTTGTTTCATTTAAGTCTTAACATACCATTCACAAGTAGAAAAGGAAGAGTAGTTCAAGAAACAGTGGATTTCTCCAAGAATGGCCTTTCAGAAAGTTCAAAGCTTCAGCCGTACGTGTATGTGCAAACACAGGCTTCAGAACGCGGTCCTGACTTCCTTCCTTCTTTCTCACTAGGCCAGACTATAGCCCCATTTGGGTTTTGAAAATGTATTAATTTGCTGTAAAAATTATCATTCTGCATACATGGAAACATCTACTTCTGATTTTCCAGCACTTCAAATGCTGATCTTGCAGATGTATACAAACACTAAAAAAAATAACAGAAAAGCCTGAACTGCTACAGATGTGAAGTAGTCGATCTAAGGTAACATCTGACTGTATTTCCTCCTCTGTTTTAAAGTTAAAAGAGAGAATTCCAAATACATAATTCTAAATGTAATATGGACTAGCTATTACCAAAGAAATCCATATGAGTGTTGCTATTCTATAGAAATATCACCTTTGAGGTTCTCTGCCCAATTTCATTCATATTAAACAAGAGGAGCAAGAAAAACAAAACTGGGTTCATCCACACATTTAGTTAAAACTGGAGCAGCTATTCTAGAAAAACTCACAGGTAATCACAGGCCCTATGTATCCACAACATCTGCCATTTTCATAAATCCAGTATGTTACAGAGGTGGCAGGAAGAGTTAGTGTTTTCCATATCAAAGGACACCTTAGTAGGAAGTAGATGTTAGAAAGGTTTTGAAAAGAGACTGCAAAAATGAGTTTCAGAAATTCATATACAGTGCAACTGAATAAAGAATGAACACTTCTAGTCAAACTTACCTTCTCTGAGGCATTTTGAAGAATGATGTCAAAGTGTGATAACACTGATAGAAACGTGCAGATGCTTGTTTTAAGCATTTCTTCATCCTAAAGCAGAAGAGAATGTAACAAGAAATACGTACATATAAAACATTTTTATACCCTATTTTTTCATAGCATGTTCTGCAGATGCAATATCAACACTATTAAAAATTTATATGCTTCCACAGCAAATTACTAAATTACAAAGTTAATAATATTAATTTTTCCTAACATGTTTTTTGGCTTTTACTAACACAACAATCATAATGAAGCATACAGCAGTGTAAATGAGCTAAAATTCAACACAAGTTCACTGCATTTCCTCCCTACACACCTCCCAAAAAACCTCCCTAAACACAATAAAGACCTTGGGGACTCTTTTTAGAGCTTACACTTTTCCATGTTACCACAAACATGGGTATCGGATGCAGAAGAAACAGCCAAGCATCAGCCTCACCCATGTTCTGCATTGGTAGAAATGAGTTTCCACGCATCTATTCACCAGTTCTGTTCACAGATATATTTCCTACTCATCCATTTTGCCACAGCATTGCACATGCTCAAATTTAGCTTATTTTTCAATATGATCCTGAAAATCCTTTTTATAGTCACTGTTTTCCAGGATAGCCTCTGAAAATACAATCTGTATTCTTTTTTCACAGACTTCTGCTTGCTCTGTTTGAATGGGCTCACTGTGTCTTTCACTGGCGTGGAAACGCTTTGATCCAATGTATTATCATCTACTAAGATGATAACAATTCCAACTGCCTGAGCTGTTGGAAGGAACTCTGAAGTAAGAAGAGGTTGTATTCCCTACAGCAATTTTTATTGGTTCTGACAGGCATGAGAAGGCATCTTTATGCACTTTAGAAAAACCCATGAATTGTAAACTGAAGAGAAAAATTTTGTCCCCTGAACAGAAAAAAATAAGCAAAAGCCAACTCTGAAAACACTGCAGACATCACTACCAAGTAAAATTGTCTCAGAGCAGGATTAAAAACCTGCATTGTTTTGACTGACAAATAAGATGCAGAAGACAAAGGCTGGATGTGGAAGCCACAAACGACTTGGCAGTATCTTCCCAAACCCAGAATCTTGGCCATCCACGTGTCTTCCATTGGCAACCATAAAGATTTCTCCAACTCACTGTGCCAGCTCTACTCTGCTCCAAGTTATACAAGGAAATCTCTGAACTGGAAAAATTCACTTGTCTTCAGCCACTTCTGTATCACAAGTTTCTCAATGTCTCTGACTATAGCTCAGGCTCACTTCCTGCTTAATTTAGTCTGCTCAACAACCCACTGCTTCTAAAGGTAAAGTACGTGGAAAATAAGGTGCAGGACAAACTGTACCCTCTTTGTTCAAACTATTCTTTTAGTAAACCCCAAAGTTCTTACTTACATAGCAAAAGCAATCCCAGAACTTATTAAGGAATTGAGGGTATTTATGTAGACTCAAGATAACAATCCATTCTATGAAGTATTTCACAGATGCCTGATTGTTACCAAATCCAGCCTGAAAAACTTTGCCAAGGGTTCCACACAAAAAGTTCTGAGAAAAAAAATCAGATAATAATTTAGTATATTTGTTAGAGTTACTTCCATAAAAAAAAAAATCTATAAGAGATCATTCTTAGCTTTATCATATTAGAAATATTTTTAATTGCCAAAACATTTTAGAACCATCTAGTTATACTTTCCAAATATTTTATTATCAAGAAGCATTAGATGAAACTAAAACTTCTCAATTTTCTCAGTGTTCATAAAGGAGCGCCCTTTTTACTAAATGAAAAGCTTTAAATCGGATAATACAGAATTACAGTTAGCTTTAACAGGAACAATCTAGTGTCCTATAGTTCACAAATCCAAGAACCAGTTTTTAGTGACCTCTAGAAATACATCATGAATCTATGACTTAGACTGAAATCACAAAAAAAAGCCTATATGAGTCACAAAGATTACATGCCCTTTATACCCTGCTGCAATTTAACATAAGCAGTTCACATGACACCAAATTATTCTTGAAAGTAAATATTTATTTATTTAAGAATTCATAGTGAAGAGGAATACCTGGTCAAGCTTTGGAAGAAGCACTAAGAGTGTCTGCCATACCCGGTTTTTAATTCTATGCTGTAAAGAGTTTGCATAATAGCGTGTTCTAGATCTGGATACCAGCTCATCCTAAAAGCAAACAAAAAGGTTTATTACCTATTCTTCCTTTACAATTGAATACAGGAATAATTATGCCAATGCATAAGCAGCTATGATATAAGTGAAAATCAGACCCCAATCTTCTCTATTAATTCTACTTATAAAGGTCTTCTAACAGACAATACCTCTCTCAATTCAAAAAGTAGTTTGCAATATTAAAGTGAAATGTAGGGCTTCAAAAATGCAGCCTAAAGGAAGATTCTCAGTAGAATAATGGTTACAATTTGGATAGTGTTCCAGGAAGTCAGAAATTTAACTAAAAAGAGAAATAAATCCGAAAGACAGTTTTTACTACTTTGGTTTGGCTTAATTAACTTCTGTCTCATAACAAAAAAAAAAAGTGTATTACTGGGCAAATCTACACAGGCTATACAAACAACTGCAAATATACCCTGTCAATTGTAAATACTCTGTGTTTTCATAATTGTACTAACATCACATTTGTATACCAAGAGAAATGATTTTTACTTTTTCAAGTAGTTTGACGAAAATGTCCTCCATAAACGTCTTATGCAAGATATTTGATCCATCCAACAAGCACAGAAATTTAATAGCACAAACACGAACGTAGTGATCATCTCGATTTGTACTGTAAAATATTAATTAAAAATAAAAAAAAAATCAAACTCTACTTGTTCAGACATAAAGGCGAGTCCTAAATCATAAAAACCATCAAACCTCATCTTGAGTAAATTGTCTGTAGTGAGACAATATTCAAATACCAAGAACTAGAATTTTAAAGTCTCCAAAAGAAAAAAATTAGTGAGTTCCAGATAACCCGCTCCTGCTTCTATCTACAGGTCTTTAATAGCATCTAAGTGTTTAAAATAATTTTCTATAGAAACAGATGCATTATCTTGAAAACACTTAGCATTTTTCTACATTTTGTAATTGAATTATGAATATAATAAAATATCCCTTTTACCACTCTTTAGAAAGGTTATGAATACACTCCTTATGGGTCACTTTCAACTTGAGATACTTAGGTTTCTATGATAAACAGCTAAACTTCGAAACCAGCATCTTTCCTATTGTAGCATCAAATGTTACAAAGACACAATTCACACCAAATATTGTAAAATGTATCCTCAAAATCATTACCTTTCTGTAACAACATTTGCTGCACATTTTTCTCCAAGATTTTCTATGAAGGCATGCACATCCTGAATAAGTCTTCAGAGATGAAAGAAGACAAATCAACAAAATTAGCAGAACAGCATACAATAACTAGTTTCAATGGCTCTCTCAAAAGTTTAACAAGAAAACAAAGCACACGAAATAACAAATATAATCAAAGATATTTTTAAATACCTTTGATCTCTCCTAAATACAGTCCCAAAGACACAAGCCTCAGTGATAAGTTCACAATAATTTCCAGCATTTAAGAAAGCATTTGTCAAGGTAGTTCTCTCATGAGCTGTGGGAAATATCCAAGATCGACAACAATGACTAACAACTACGTTGAAGACTCCAGTCCTGGTAGTGGACATATCTATAAGCTTGAAAATTATCTGAAAAGAAGAAGAAATAGAAGATTCAAAACCTAGTTTTCAGAAGTGCTAGAATTATTAGATGAGTACCGCAGTGATTTTAGCAGGTCTGATATTCTTCATCCCCTCTTTGCTCAGGTTAAGGGTGGCTTCAATCTATTTAAAATTCCCTGATTACACAGGCAGGTTGATGGGCAACGACTGGCCCAGGACATGCTTGTCTTAGAGAAGACACAATTGATCTGTGTTTAAACAGATAAAACACCAGATGCTTTACATGAAACTCCTGGCAACTGGAGCAACTGCACCTGGGCTTAACTTCATGAGTACAAACCCGGTGTTTTTAATCCATCTTTATAAATTTAAAAAAAAAAAATCCCAACACAACACTGCCTGTGTGTTGAAGTTACAAGTTCGTGTTTGAGTTGAAGTGGAAAAAATGCATTTGTACCACTTAAGTTTTTGGGTTTGAGGAGGCCGTATTTAAGATATAAGAAACTGCTACCTAAAACTTCTCGGGGGAAAAAAGAAAACTAAACCAAGAAAAACAGCCTCAAAATTTTCCTTTTCTAGTAGAAAAGAAACTGAAGAAAAGAAATTGAAGAAACTGAAATCATTTGGGAAAGCACAGGGAGATTCAGAATGAACAAGTGGGGTTTTTATAAATTTCTTTTTTGACAACATCAGTTAGAGCTATCCATGAGAATCGTTTTCCAGAAAATGTAACAGCTCTTATCTTCCCCTTCTCTTCCCCACTCAAAATAACACTTTTGATAGTTTGACAATTCTCTGACTGTAACTCTGTTCCTATAGAGAAATTTTTCTGAATTGCTAAGGATTAAGGCACCAAGCAGCTCATGAAGAGCTTAAACTGAAACGCTGTAATGTACTCTGAAGAAACACTTTCTGGGAAAAAAAAATAAAATGCCAGAAACATCTGGTCTTTTTACAAAGAATCCAAACACTTCTTTTAGTGCAAAGACAAGCACTGTAACTTTCCTAATTATTCCAAAATTGAACTATTGTTTTTCCCTGTAGAGAAGCATCATGACTTTTTACTATGCATTTCTCAATTCTGGAATGATTTTCAGTTGTTTCAATAACCTAATAAATGTCCAGCATACACGAAAGAAATTTAAGTTCCAGCACAATTGACATTTGAATAATCACAAAGGAAAAGGAAAAGTGCAGCAGCTGAAATGAAGCCTAAGAAGGAGGTCCTCTGGGCACCTCTGTGGAAGCCCTTCTGGATTTCACCACAGCAACATTCCCTCTTCTGGCTCAGAAACATCCCTCTGTTCCACCCCTTCTAACTATTATGAAGAAGATATGAGTGCACTGTGGTAGACAAAATTAAAATTCTGTCTCTGTGACAAATAAATACCAGGCAGTTCCACATTTTTCTTTCTCTTCAGCTTAAACTACATAGCCATTGCGCCAGTCAATGGCAACAGAGACTGCCAAGGAGTGGGATAAGAATATACGTAAGGAGGCACTTGCTTGGGAACTTTATCTTCATTTTCTTATGAAGGGGCAGAAGGTGGCTTGACCAGAGGCCCTTTGTTGAGTATAGGAGACCTTCGTTAGCTCCTTGATGCCTGCTGTCATGGTGTGTCCCACTGCAGACAATGGGATAGCTGTCACACAGACTCAAGACTCTCAACATCGGCAAAACACACCTTATAAAACGCTTGAAACACTAATGATGAAGTTATGACAGTAATTTCTAAGAATTTAAACAAACTTTAAGATCAGAGCGAAACCAAGAAAATAATCACAGCCCATCAGTTACCACAATACTGAATACCGTTATTCACTACAGATACTCATGAAAGGAAAAAGCTAACCGACTTTAAAGTGGATAACAGTAGCATTCATTTGAAGCAAGTTTTCAAAAAGAACAAAGAAAAAAATCAATGGAACTATATTTTAAGAAGCTTAAGACAATACAGCAATTTTAAATAGCTAGGAAATGTAATTTTTTTCTGCATTCTATTAAAAATAGTTTTGGAGTGTCTAAGTTGAAAATAAAGCCAAGACATTTGGCATTATTTACAGCAATGAATGTGACACCAGGACAGAGCTGCGTATAGAGACTTCAAAGTAAAATTGCAACCCCTCCTGGTATGACTTCTCTGCAAAGTGCAAAGCACTGCATGTGATCATAGGTCTATGCAAAGTCTAAGTACACAGATATACTGGTAACTAATCTATAATGTATTCCCGCTCTGGTAAAAGTCTTGCAGTCATTGTGGGCTGTTTCTCTTCTTAACTATGGAGGCGTCTCTACCACATGGTCTTAAATAGAACTCTAAGGTGACTATGATTATGTTTTCTACATCTGGACCCTCAAGAAAAGACAAAAAAAGTCATTGGAGAAGCAGTTTAAGTTGGCTTATTCAACAGCATCTAGGAAAGTTTTGAACAGTTCTAACTTTTCATTTAAGAAAGTATTTTCATGAAGACTAAACTAGAGAAAAGGTTTAATTTTTCAAGAAAATTAATCGTTTGTGACAGTCCAGGTGGCAAATCCTGATCAAAATATTCAAGACCAAGTACATAACATAAATAAGACAAAAAATCCCCCCAAAACATTTTACTGAATGCAGAAGATACTGAATAGTCTAAAAATCAAATAAATAATACTTCTCATTTTCTGTGTTACAAGAACAATATATTTGTTTATCTTCACTCTAATTCTCAGTGCCTTAGTGCTATCAAACTACTAACTTCCTGTAAATGGAAAATTCAAACCAGTAGGTGAAAGGAAATGGAAGTAAAATACATTTTTAGATACACACAGAATTTATGTTCCCTTTCCAAAGAAAGAATTGTTAAAACTGACCTCTTTTATTTTGGCATACGCTTGACCCTTTGCACTTGCAGCAACAGCGAGAATCTCAGTATCAAAGATGAACTGAACAAAAGCTTTTAGATTGGACCAAAATATTAGCTGTGTGTTGCTCAAAGAGGATATAATTTTCCAAGCCAAATCAAATGCTTCTATGCAGAGAGACTCCGATGAGTCCAGAAGCTGAAAATAAAGAGAAGACTGAAGTGTTACACTTGATAAAAAAACACCCCCAAAACTATCAATATTGCACAGTAGTTTTTATCTTTTACCTTAGGAACAAGGACTTTCATGCAGTCAAGCACAGGTAAAACTTGGTCTGACGGAAGAATAGTGAGGGCTTCCAATGCAGACTGTAGAATTGTCCTTGACCATTCGACTCTAGATAATGGTACTTCTGAAGTTTCTTCATAGTCTTGAGCCAGTGTTGGAAATGAATTTAAAATGAAACGAAGGCATATCCACTGGTCACGAACATAGCGTGCAGCAATTTTGCCCCATCCTTGGGACGTTGTTTCTTCACGTAACCTGCAAGAATATTATTTTTAAATATATATGGTATTAATTTATCCTGCACACTCCTACACCAGCAGGAACAACTCAACTGTACAAACTCACTATACTTGAAGACACTAAAATTTACACAGGTTCAAGGGGACCCTGGACAAGTCTATGGAAAAGAAATCTACAAATAAAGTTTTTTAAAGGCAGAAAAAACAGTTCTGGGCTCAGGCAGTCTCATTAGTCATAAACATCTGGGAGAATATTCAGTGGAAACATCAATACACACTGGCCACAATTTTTTGTTACCCAAGTATTTGTTTTGTGGCCCTCAGGCTTGCTTTGGACTTTCCTTCTCCAACAGTAAATAATTTTCATTTAAACTCGCTTGTGTATATGCTATGGCTTTGTGCAGTCCATAAATATTTAAGCCGGCATAAGGATAAGCAAAGTCCAACACTAGCTCTGCCTTCATGGCACTAGAGAACTGAGCAAAAGAACTTTTGGTCTGATCAGGTAACGCTGTCTTAACGTTCTAAAACCTGAACGTTAAGACAAAAGAGCAAGCGAATGAATAGCTTGTGTACAGCATTCTTAATTTTTATCTTGGCAAAAAGTTAGCAAAGAACAGAAAAGGAAATGCCTGCATCTTTGTCATTGCTCCATGTTAATCAAATTAACTCTGGAAAATTACTGAAGCTATAGCACAGACATACCTACTTCCTTCTTCTATGTAAGATGGTTTCTTTAATACTTCATTGAATTGAGAAAAGGAAATAAATCTCTTCAGAGCATCCACAGAAGGGAGAGATTCAAGACACACTTCATGTTTCTGATCCATTATCTCACAAACTGCTGTAAGCGAAGCCATGCTAGCTACTTTTTTTATTTGTCCTTTCAGTTTTGGCTCCTAATAAAAACCAAATTATAAATGAACAAACATGCACTGATTTTTTCTAACATGATACCAATACATACTGACACATTTGATAATCCTCCTATCTGTATCACCTTACACATAGCAACTCTGCGCCCTCCTGCTTCCTCATTTTCTTGCCCTAGGTATAACACAGCTTTGCTTGGTCACTGCAATCAATTACAAGTTGCAAGCATGAAAAAAGTATAAATCTTGCAAATTACAGTCATTAAGCATTAAGTTCAGGCACGTAGCTCAACTATAATAGAAAACTTCCACTTTGCCAGGTAGCAGTTTAAAATATATTGCTGGACAGTAATTAGAAAAAAAGATGCAAGTCCATGTAGCTGGAAACCCAGTGCAAGACATCGGAAGAGCACATGCTATTATTGCTCCAAGAATTTAAAAGGTCACACCACCTACTATCACTGTTTTGTGTGATAAACACATACTCAAAGACACATGAGATAAAAAGTCTCAAGTAAAAAAAGTCAATATGCTCATGGTTCCCTAATACCATTAAAAGCTCAATATTACTTTGGTATCTTCAAGTTACTTCCAGCTGTCTAGAGCACAGAAAAGATTTTTCTCATGTGTAATTACTCAGCATTTCCCTTTTTCTTCTCAAACTGAAGACATACTATTTGTGCAACTGAAGAAAGCATCAGGACAATTCCAATGAACCAAAATAAGCAGGTAGAGTCCCCCAGTGAACACTAAGTATGAAGCAGAAAATGTTTACTTTGAAACTATTGGAAGCATGTAATTCACATACTGAAAAGGGAAAAAAAAAGTCTAAAAAGTCTTGCTCCTTGTTTCCTTAGAAAAGAAAACCTAGCAAATTACATCTTTTAATGTGTTATTAACTGTTCTTGATCAATAACTCAAAGTGGAAAATACTAAATATTATACTTCCCAACAAATCTTAATTTAAATCTCCTCCTTTTATGTAAAAAGTTATTAATATTTTTTTACCTTTTGAAAACGTATCTACTTCAGATACACTATTCTAACACATACAATCATGGGACAATGAACATAACTACATGAAAAAGCCAAAACAATGTTGGGTTCTGGAATTTCTTTTTCTCTGTAGGTTCCAGCACGTAAATTCAATGATCATTTATATAAAAAGCATTTTCATTTAACAGCACCTTCCTCGGTAAGATTGTTCATATTTGAGGAAAAAACTTCTGGGTACACACAGTCTACTGTTACAGTTGATACAGACTTCTAAATAAATGTAATGTAAGAAAACAAAAGTACTAAAAATCTTAGCTACAAATACTTTACATTAACATTACACTGCCTACTAGAGACATGTGCTAGGGAGTATATATACAAACATATTCACACAAATTTCTTATTTTATAATACATTATATATATATATATTTGTATTATTGAGTATAAAAATA